AAAGAATGTTCCATTGAAGTTCACGATGCCTTGGATGTCAAGTGGAACTGTCCATTCACTCTATTATTTATTTTATTTACTCAATGTCCAAAATGTCGTGATTTAAGTGGATGGTTCTATGACCTTTGCATGTAGGACAATCCAACTAATGCATTTCTTTATGATTTGAGTAGACATTCATGCCATGAGTGCATATAAAACTTTGCCGCTAAAGTTTTCTCATTAAGTTGGGATTTGCGTTGAATTAACATAGGTTTTCAAGGAAAACTCCATGAAAAAAGTTTTAAAACAGTTATAAATTGTACTTTGAGTGGGGAAATCCCAAGTTTGAAGATGAACAAAAAGTGGACTATGAAGGGATTTATTCTTTAAAGAGTGATTATATAAACACCACAATTTTTATTTGTTACACTACATTTTAATTGCAATAGATGTTCTCAATCCTTGGTCATTCTAGCAATTTTTCTTAACTTTTTCTGTTGAATTCTTATATCAATCTTCCATTAATTAGTACGTCTCATTCTTGATGATGATTTATATTAAAATATTTTGTTTTAATACTTTGAAATGATGAAAAATTATTTTTTGCTCCTTTTATTTATTTATTTTTTAAAAATATGATGAACAATAAGTTATTTTATGCTATTTTAACGGACTTTTGAATATAAAACTGTTATTAAACATAAAAATGTATTAAGTAATAAAAAGTTTAAAAATAAGAATAACATGAAAAACCATTAAGAATATAAGTGTTATAATGAACAAAGATTAAGAATTTAGTGCAATTAAAATGTGATGCAAAATATAAAAATTGTAGTGGAAACAACAAAAGAGAAAAATTTCAACTAGATGGTTAAATATGCATATGTGGTAAGATTATTTGTTCAAATCATGACACCGCTGATTTTGAGCCACTCAAAGAATGACCCATTGAACACAGGATGAGTAAGAGAGTGAAATAGAGTGGGTGGATGGATCCACTCGATCTGCACACATCGCAAAGGACGCCAATTCGTTGTTGTGAGGAGTTGGGAAATCAAGTTTTTAGAGATGAAAATGTAGTGGTGATGTGGACATGGCACCGATGTGGTGAATCTATTCAATGTGTTGATAAATGGCATTGGCAACATGTGTATGGATGGTCTTGTCACGTGCAGTCAATGGTGAGGCATGTGATTTGGATCACTAGATTATGTCAATTTAAAAAATTATGATCTTATGTTGCTGCTCAATTCGTGTCAAAAGATTCAAGAAATTAGCATGGACACATGAATTCCTATAAATAAGACCCCCTCATTTGATTCCAAAATCTCCAATCGAATCTATATAATTGATTTCTTCTCATTCTGTAAATCCTAAAATTTTGTCCATAGTTTTAAGTAACTTTAAGTTTTATTCGACTTTTCCAATCAATTGGTGTTCAAATATCTAAGCCATCGAGTTCGTAGTTATTCCAATCAAGAAAAACATAATCAAGGTTAGTTCGTCAGATAAAGATCATACCGTATTATATTGATTTAGAATAAGATTTGTATTTGAGTAATAGACATCTGACTATCGGGTTAGCACCAATATTGAAAGCAAAATCTGTCATGAGGAGGTTTCTTATGCATACCTCTTCATTTATTTCGAATTTTCTACCATTAATATTCCGATCAATTCTATTCAAGTTTGCTATTTTGATTGTCTAGTTGATTTTCCAAAATCACTCTATGGGTCAAAACATGCACTTGAATAGTTGAACTTCTTGGAATTTAAGAATGAGCAAGAGGTGTCAAAATGTATTGGGTGATTAGCTATTTATAATCTAACACACTTTAAGTCTAGTTGAGTATGATATTGTACGGCCTGCACGATTTGTGTTATAACGCATGTGCAGATGGTTATATGCGATAAGTCCAATTTAAGGTAGAATTATATGACCATTAAATTATGTGTCTTATTTAACTACACTTAATGCCACCAATACTCATATCAATGGTATTAGATAGAGTTGCTTAAAAGAAATACATAATGTATTTCTGTATTTTTCTTTATTTCATTGATATAGTAAAATATTAGTGTGGATTTTTGGATATAGGTACAGTTTCCAAATCATATGAAATTATCATTCCTTCACTTACTTTACAATGATTGAATTACCGTGGGGATAAAAAATGAGCGAGATGCACTATACTGAAAGGGGCTGACACCTTAGACCCTGTCACAGGGGCTTCTCCAAGGCCCTTGTTTGAGCAGAATTTTCCATAATGAGCCAGCGTTGTCTGATTCCAAGAAATCATGCAGCTTTGTATCTTTCTTTTTTGAGTAGTACTATTTAGCTCCTCTGGAGTTATAACCTCAGTTTAAGTGATGTTAATGTAACATTGAATGATAGGTAAAATTAAATAAATCATTTAATTTCTCACCTTTCATTCAGCCTATCATTAAGTGCCATCTAAGCTAGGATTGTAACCCAATAGGGCTGCATAGTTTTATTTTTCTTTTATTTATTTTGGTTAGTATTTATTTCTTTATTACAAGATAACTCTTTCGAGACTCTTTATTTCAATAACTTTAAGTACTTAAACCTCTTCTGGATTTACATAATTAGTTATGCATGTTAATATGTGATTCTAATCTTTCTCATTATGGGGACATTTTGTCTCGATTTGTCTAACATGATTCAAGCAAGCCTTATATTAAGTAATTAACATTAATAATAAAACAATATTAATTAATTATTAAACTAAACATGCCTTCGTAGTTAAAAGATAGATATTAGGTGCAAAACTAATTTAACATGATTGCGAAAAGGATATTTAATAGAAAACTTGGGTTTCGTTTCTAGCCATTATTAAAACATGCCCAGAGTAAACCTGGATATATCAGAAAACAAGACTATCTCGCTAAAATAAAATTGGATAATGTTATTGTTGAAATGTAGTTCAACATTCAAGAAAAATGAAATGGGATGAATAAATATGAAGAAAAAATGAAAAACGGTATTAGAGGCAAAACATTGTTCTATGCAGCCACATAGATTAATACTATACAGTCGCATGGCCTATTGCAGGAAATTATGGGGCCTCTTTGGATTGTTCTATGCTATCGCATAGATTTATACTATACAGGCGCATAATTATACAAAATTGACCGTTGGAAGTCAGTTTTCTACCGTTGCAACTCCGAATTGTGGTGGCTTTTCAGCCTATTTTTGCACCAATTCGTGCACATTGGTGGTGCCTATATAGGTGATGCATCTTAAGCCAAAAATAAGTGAGAAACATTTGTGATCCATATTCATTCCAATATCAAATATCAAATTCTTGATTCACATTCATACTCTTTTCTTCCCTGTGTTCTTAAAGTTTTGGATGATCGCATTTTTGTTTTGGTGCTAGATCATTTACAAGGTTTGATATAATCCTATGAACATTTTGCCAAAATCCTTAAACATCTTGATCAATCTCGAAAGGAGACAAATATAGTTTAAGGACAACGATTATGCGTTCGAGCCTTCAATCTTGTTTTTATCAAGTTTTTGGTATTAATTCTTTTTATTGTTGCATTATTATGATATTATTATTGTCTCTACCCTATTCTTCTCCATATTTTCCAACAGCTATACCTAATACCTTAATCTGGAAAAGTCTAGTGCATGCTTGCAGTCTCTGTCTGTCCATTTAGTCTTCACCTAATCTAATTAATAACGGTAAACAACTAGTTTGAAATGTCGTCTAAATTTTCTTTCAAATCCGCGTTATCATGTCAAAGTCGTAGAATCAAAATCGAAAATTCACCAACATGATACAGTGGTTATGTAGGTCATGATTGATTCTCATTAATTTATTTTATGACATGATCATTTTCAACCACATATCTGTTGGATATTGGTTAAATAAATTGAGAATTGAAAATCGATTAAAGTTCGTATCGAATTCGGCCAAATACTCAAAAGCTCGACTCAATCCGTTTAGGCAAAATTGTTTGCCACTTCGCCGCTTCGGGGCGCACAAACGGGGATCGACCTGCCCGGTCAGGTCGCGAGGGTCGAGGGGGCAGCGCCCCTCGTGGGGGGTCGGGGGCAACGCCCCCGAAAGAGAATTTTGATTTCTCTGCATGTATTGAAGGGTATATTTGGCATTTCGAAAACCAATATCGGATGAATGAGAAATTACGAAAAAGACCTCAACCATTAGTGAATAGACACATTTTCATAAATATGCATTGTTTGGAAATGGTGCATGGTTTGGTCTCAACCATTTCGTCCACACCCCTTCATGGTCTATAAATAGGACCCTTTGAGTGTCCTATTCCTCATAGTTTGATATGCAAAACGTTTCTCATCCTCTCTTCTATCCAAAATCTTTGATTTTCTTTCATTTCATCCTTGGAGTACATAAGCCTAAATTGGTTCGTTGTACTTGTGTTTTGGAGTGCTACAAACACAAGTGTAGCCGTTGTATCTTGGGAGTCGATTGCCGAAATCCGTAGGCACCGTTGCGGGGCAAATTCGACTTAAGGACAAAGAGTCCAACTCTTGCCTCGGCTTTGTCACCATCATTATACTTATTTCAGCGTCACTATTCACAAAATTCATCCAACAATATCTACACAATAAAATATTTTACACGTTCTTCCAAACTTTTCCCCTAATTTTTAATCACATATTTTCCTATAAGTACTGTTCAAAACTCATTTTCTTTACAGTTAATGTGAATCAAACATGCACTTAATAAAGAGGAAATTAGACGGGGATGTCTAAAGTTTCAGAGAGAGAAAGCGAAACGTGTTTTATCAACTTTTTAGAAAAAAGTTGAGTTTTTCAAAGAAAAAAATTTGACAAATGAGATACAAGTTTCACTAGGTCAATGTTGTCACCTAATTAATAAGATAATATAATGAGAAATTAACTTCTACATGAAAGATTTAATTTGACTTAATTAATTACGAGGGACTGGATAAAATTAGCCCTATAAAAATGGAGAGGAGCAAACTCATGTTTGCATAACAAAGATGGGAACTAAAGGAAATAAAAATTATTTGTCCTTTCTCAGTGTTGCCATTCTTATATTGACCCTTATGGCCATAAGCTTTCCTTCCCAAACCACCGCAAACAATCGTCATTTATTTCCACCTCCATCTCCAAGAATTTCTACCCCTAACCATTTTAAGTCTCCACCGCCATCTCCACCCATGAAACACTATGTGCCGCCACCTCCACCTCCCGAGAAATCATACATGTACAAGTCTCCTCCCCCACCTTCTCACTAAGCTGATCGGAGATAAGCCAATGACTTCAAAGGTATTTTTGATTTGTGTTAAGTCGTTAACTCTTTCAATTAGTTGTTGATTTTTCATATTATTTTCCAAAATAGGTCCCGCTGAACTGCTCATTTGATTTTTTCAACAATAATTGAAAAGAATGGAATGGACATACAACTTATGAAAATCTCATAATTATTGATGGCAGCTAGTCTTTGTATTCCTGCAGGAAATTGAAGAGTATTTGGTTAAAGAATGGGTGAGCTTAAGAAAATAATATAGTTATAATAAACCCCATGGAGACACGATTACTTAGAGGCTAGAGCTCCATAATATTGTATTGTTTCTAATTTCTTTTCTTTTCTTTTCTTGAGGTTAGTTTTATTTCACTCCTTTTTACTCTATTCTAATTTTCAGTTTCATATTTATAATTAAGAAAAATGAACCAGACCTTTTCACCTCATTACTTCAAGGAGTTTTGTTATTTGTACCCGGAGTTTGACACTCCGAGTTACCTGGCGTGAGTGAGGGCATCGGGCCCTACACATTTATTGGTGTGGGGCCCCCGACCCCAATGTGAGTAACTCTGGGTACCTATAGCATAACTCTATTTTGAGTGGTGCTCCTCCTGCTTTCCATTGCTTGCTCCATTTCTTTTTGGCATGTCATTTCAGCTCATGCTGTACATCTCGCCCATCAACAAATAAATGGATAAAGTCACTTCGTTTAATATGGGGACGCTCATTTATGACAGCGTTGGTTGCAATTTCACTACCATCAAATCATTATGTTTCATTTTAGATCAAGTCTTCAGATGAACTTGTTCATGTCTTAAATTTTTTCATTCTCATTAACTTGTTGTGACATAATTTAATGAAATAAATCTTCTCAATCAAAGAAAGAACATCCTAAAGAAATGAGGCATGTGAAGAAATATTTGTCTTTAACATGGATTATTTTCCATTATAGTAGTATTAGAAAGTGTTGATTTAATTTAGTTTCCACAATATTTGGACCAGAAACCTTAAATAATTAATAACTATCAATCCAATTTGGTTTTAAATTCAACTTCTATTGTCAAAAAATCAAAAGTTACTTTTGGTAAATTTTGAAAAAGTAATTATGAAATAATATGTATCATATGACAGCAAATTTTAAGAAGCAAAACTCTACTTTTAGCTTCTCCATTTATCAATTATTAAGTTGAATTTATTCATTTTCTGTTATATGGTCTATGCTATAAATTTCAAGATTTTAATAAATTTTAATTTTTTTGAACTTAAAAATAATTTTAATGAATATATTGTCTTAAAAATATATGATAATTTTACTTTTTTATTATGAAAGTAAAAATAAACACTATAATACTACTAATGATAATAATAATAAAAAGGATATCATAACAATCAATGTCCATCAGAGTAATAGTATATATTGTTGTGTATTGGTTGTTCAAAACCAACAAATAAACTTATAAATTGGATTGTGGAACGAAAATCGAAGAATTTGGCCACATTTTATGCCATGCGACTGCATGAGCATAAAGGCCATGCGGTCACGTGTCCATATGCTGAGACCTTAAGGTCTCAGCTCAAATGAATCATGCGACCGCATGGATATGTACCATGCGGTCGCATGGTAGGTTTTTGGTGACCGTTAGAGGGCTGTTTTTGAATGTTATAATTTCAACTTCGGTGGCTTTTCAATCAATTTTGGCACCATTTCACTCCCTTGGATGTGGCCTATATATAGAAGATCTATATTCAACGCTTAAAAAAACAAAGAAAAAACTTGTTCAACATCAAAGATCATCAATCCATTTCTTCATATTCAATTCCTTTATATTCTTAAAGTTTTGGGGAATTTTACTTTGTGCTTTGGTGAAATTCTTTACAATGCTTGTTATAATCCTTTAAACCATTTGCCAGAATACCCTTAAACATCTCGTGAATCATTGGAGAGGAGGCAAATAACGTATGAGGACAGCGATCTCGCGTTTCAGCCTTCGAAGTTAATTTTGATATTTTCTAATTTCTTCATCTTGTTCCTGCGATTTCTTATGATCTTCTCTTGTCTCTTCTCTATCACTTCAATATTTCCAACATATATTCATATTAATAAATCACTTTTCGTTTAACAAGTCCTGAAATGCTAATTTTGAAACCAAGAGTACCAAACACTTATCTGATTATTCAAGTAGTGATTCTTTCTCTAGTACAGCTACAATTGATCCCCTTAAAACACAATAAGACCAAAAGAAGCCTAAATAAATCCTTATCATCATCGACTTTATGCATTTCATCATTTTACCACTTACAATTCCAATAACACTACTCAGAAAGGTATTGATGAGTAAACTCGTGGCAAAGGAAAGGATATAGGTATAGTCAAGTTTTGGATTGAACAAGTTTTGAAAGTGCAGTTTGAAAGAATATCAAGGAGAGGAAAAGAGTAGAAAAACGAAAATAGAGAATAATGACAATAAATAGAATGCAAGATTTTTTAAGTACAAAACACCACAATTGAAGAAAATTAAAAGACGATTTTTTACTATTTGAAAAATTGTAACAGTTAGACACTTTCACACCAAGACTCACAAAACAATAACTACGTCGACAAATAGAAAGAAGAGTATAATTTTTCTTCCCTGTTCCCCTCTTATTCTGGTTCAATTATATAAGGATATCTATACTCGATAAGAGTGAAAAATATAGTAATGGATGAACTATGTGAGAAGGGTTTTCAACAAATATAACAGTTTTCCATGTATTTCGATTAACAGATCATTGCTTTACCGGTGTATATATCCTTATACAATGTGCACATTTTTCACACCGTGCTTGACATAATATTTAAGTGTTCAAATTTTATGCTTTTTAAATGTTGTTTCTGGAGGATCTATTTCTCATTTTGAACAATCAACCAGAAGACACTTACTCTTCTTGAAACGGGGATTAGATGGTCAATAAGATCGAAAACATGATCAAATTTGTAATTCGAGCTCACCGACTTCATGATATGTCCTTAATATGAACTTTCTCCCTTTTATTGTGCTTAAAAGTAGTCAGCAATCATCGTCCTGATTAGTACATATTTCATCTCTTATGGAAGCAGCACATCAATCTGTAAGAGTTTTAATGAACTTAGTTTTGTGTTTCGTGCTTGAAAACGGAATTTAGAATATAGATAGAAAGTTATTGCATTTTAATGGTTGTGTTGTTGGCGAAAAATGTAAGCTATTTATGGAGTGTCCTTGACTGTTCGAATAGCCTAAAAGTCTCTTTAAAATCAGTGTGATTGTTTAAATAAAATTTCGAATGATAAGTGGAGTTTGTCCTGACAAAAAATAGATGCGATTACAATTTACAACATATGTTGATTATAGTGAAGTATAAAAAACGGACATTCGTCACATCTAGAAAAAATCCACGAAATGGCCAATGGGGTCGAATTTATTGACCGTTAAAATAATTTCATACAATATCCAAAAAATTTGATTAATTAAAATTTTGCACAAAAAATTTAAACAAAATAATAAATAAATTTTCGTCAAGAAGATATATGCAAGACTTAAACCCACACCCGAACATGACCCTAACCAGGGCCCGTGCACGTGCTGTACCAACTACCAAGTCGGACGTCGACAATGCGTACTCATGTGGTTTGAATCCAATAATATCTAGGTACCCTACCTTTTTCACAGGAATTGGGTGTCCTTCAGGACCTCAAATCTGAAGGCCGAACCTACACATTATATAAACTAAACATTTCCCCAAGTGTTCTTATATGAGACAAATGTTCACGAAATTCCATCAAATTTTCACAATTTCAAGTGGGTTAAGTTGAATTCAAATATTTCATTCAATACTTGACGACGATTTTTTATAGATAAATATATCACATTATTCATCTCCAAGAGTTAAAAAATGAATTTGCTTGATCATGTTATTTTCAAAATTTGTAACCTACTTAATTTTGAGTTCAAATTTGCCCAAAACAAAATAATCTATCAATTTTTTTAAAACAATGCAACAATAGATACAAATATAGCGAAAAATAAAGAGAAACTATATCAAGATAAGTAGCCAAAGATTTTGAACATTCTCAAGTAAAAATCTACCAGATTTACTTGACCAATATGTAACAAGATGATTTAAACAGTCAAGTGTTGGTATAATTTTGAACATTCTCAAGTAAAAATCTACCAGATTTACTTGACCAATATGCAACAAGATTATTTGAACAGTCAAGTGTTGGTATAAACCTAAACATTCAAAGTCACTTTGAATATAGTTGGTTCTCACATTTGTGTTCATTTTGGTCTTGAACACTACCTGGTTCATGAGTATTTATAGAGAATTCTTCATCACATTCATGCCTGAGGAAATCCCCCCAATGGTCACCGAACTTTGCCAATTTCCTCTAGGAGGTTACGGAACTTCACTTTATCCCTAAATGGTCACGAACTTTGCCAAAATCTCCTAGGAGGTCACCGAACTTCACTTCGCCTCTAAATGGTCACTGATCAAGTAGTCTCCATAAGGCGTATTCTGTTATAATCTACTTGAACAAATCAAGATATAAAGATCATTAAAAAAATAGCTTCACATGATTCTTGTAATAGTTAGGCATTGTCTCATCATATAAATCAATAGAAGTGTAAACCTCCTCAACTTGTATTGAGCTTTTCACTGTTCGATTTTCTTATTGAACCTAGATCGAATGATCTTTAGTCAACAAGGTTATACATGTGGCATTCTATGCCATTATATTCATAGCTAGCGATATATTAAGCTAGATTGTCACCAATTAGGAAATCATTCAAGAAATTTCTGAAACATCATGCTTCATTCTAACTTTAAAACTCCTTATAGTTCTCAAGTTTTATGGAAGATTTTCGCAAAATAACTACACTATCAATATTAAAAAATATTTACTAGTGAATTTGAATTCTTGCATTGGATATCCAATTTTCAATACCCTATATGTTTAAGTTTAACAAGGTATTCAATATAGTACAGTTTATCATTTCAAATATTTTTCAATTATATCAATATTATAATTTGAAGAAAACAAAGTCTCCCCCACAAATCCTGAAACTTTATTAATCGTGACTATTATGCAAACAACAACCATATGGGACAATTCTGGGTAGGATTTAGCATAATAATTAATATTCGTCTAACTGTATAAGGAGTTTGATCGTATCGTTCATTATGTTTATTTTTTGGGTAATAATTTTAGTCTTCCCTGTAGTCAATATATAAATGGAGGAAATAGTGGCCAACGGCCGGTTGACCCGACCATTTTTTCAAAAGGGCCTTTGACCAAATTTTTAAAAAAATAAAAAATAAAAAAATGCTGAAAATGCAAACAAAGCCAAATAGTCGAAAATACCCTCAAATAAAAAGAAGAGAAGAGGAAAAGAAAAGAAAAAAATGAAAAAACAAAATCTCATTAATGACACCGGACGATCCAGATCGGAGCATCGTCGGAGATCGTCATTTTTCAAAGGGTTTAGCTTTTTTCTTATTCTTCATTGAAATATTTTTTGTTGCTATTAATGTTTGAAATTTGAAAATTTATTTATTGAATATGTTATGAGTTAAAAACAAATTTTGAAGTTTATTTATAGTTAAAATGGAAGAAAATATCGAATTTGAGGTTGAAATGACTAAGAAAAATGAAAAAAAGGATTGAAATTTGCCGGAAATGGAGTTTTCCGATGAACAGTAAATTCTCGTCGAATCGGGTCTGGAGCGTCGGGATCCGGACATCGTACAGTCCGTAACGGACCCCCACGGACCACCTTTGGTCCG